AATATTCCATATTGAGATGTCAAATCTTTTACATGCATCTATCCAACTAGTCAATGTTTAAAATATAAATGATGACAAAACTGAAAAATTTAGACAACAAAACTAGAAAATAGAAAATAAAGAGCAACACATCCACATGCTGTTCACATCACAAACTTGAATAAGTAGTGGTGGCAAGACCTAGTTATTGGTCCTAATAACTTTCAAAATTCTTATCTCCTGACGGGGGGTATCATGATTGGTAACTTGTAGAGAATCTATCACAAGGAACATAGTTTTTTAGGGATTAAAAAAAAAAAACTCATGCTAATTTAGTAACATGCTTGGAAAGCACGTCCACGTAGTTTCTTGAATTCCAGAATAATGTTCTGAAATAGATAAATAACCTAGCAGAACTCCTCAAATCACAAAGATAAGCTGTTTTCCCATAATTAGACTTTATCAAAGACTGGAATTAACACAAAATCAACCATAAAAGCTAACTGGTATATGGTTTGTTAGTTTCCTTAAATCCACGGATTCCATGTGGGGCACAGGATAAACAGGATAGTTAGTAGCTCTGCCTCAAAGGAACAACTTTTGAAATCCTTAAGCTATATAAAAGGTAAAATTATATTAACATATGTACACTTTTTACAAAAAATTGTGTTTTCTTCTGTTGATCTTTAAAAATAAATTTAGAGTGAAAAGTAATGTACCAGTTAGTAATAAAATATTCTAGCCAATACAATAGTCACTAATAGAATACCCAAGGAAAGTAATATGTGGGAGAGTATATGTGATTGTGAAAAATAACCACTCTCCTTTATCTGCAATGAAAGTGAAATAGCATGTTTCCGGAAAAAAAGAGAAAAAAAAAAAGGCAAATATCCCCAGTACTTTAAGAGAGATGAGAAGAAAGCTACAAGTGAATTAATTCTTTTGAATACAAAGACTCAACATGCTGTCCAACTACAACTACCACAAAATAATGTAGGAACAAAGCCTCTGGGCGCTGCCATTGAAACAGGAGTGAGCAAGGTTAGAGAAAAGGCTGGCTTTGCTGGTTACTAGTTCTATTACTTTACGCAAAGCATACACAGATTTTGGCATTCAAAAAGTTAACATTAGACCTGGCCTGTGTGGCTTAGTGGTCAGAGCATCGGCTTGCGCGCTGAAGGCCGTGGGTTCGATCCCTGGCCCTGGTCAGGGCATGTGTGAGGAGGCAACTAATTGATGTCTCTCTCATGTCAATGTTTCTCTCCCTTGTCCTCCTGCCCTTTCACTTGCTCTAAAATAAATACATAAATAAATAAATACATACATAAATAAATAATAATCATCATCATCAATGGAAAATAAATAAATGATCATCATCATCCTTTGGTGAGGATTAACAAAAGTTAACGTTAATGATCACTCTGGAATGGTTAAAACTTTAAAGTCCATAAAATGTAATGTTATGTAATTTTCCTGAAATGGGAATGTGAATCATGTCTATTTTACAGTGTGAAAATAAGTCACTCAGTAAATGAGTGAGCAATGATTTCATAAATTGATAATAACAATAAATATTAAATAATTCTTGATATATTAAAACAAAGGTGATGCTGCAGTGATTTTTCCTAATTTCAGAAGACAAAACCAATGGGCCATAAGTAAGTTTAAATTTACTATTTGGTGGTAACCAGAATATCTATTTATTTTAGCCATACACTTACTTTTGGAGGTTTCTGCTTAACACTCCTTCATTATTCTACCACACTGACAGCTATGAATTTGTATTTCTAAACCTATAAAACAGCACAGGATGTGAACTAAACTTTATGACTTATTCAATGATAAATACACATTTTCACATTTCAGTTTACTTTTTCAATTATTATGAGCATCTTTATGAAATACAATGCACACCGTAAATTATTCATTTCAAGACAAAGTCCTTCTAGTCTCATATGTCCAAATGGCATGAGCTTCCTCAAAGGAGGACATTTTCTCTTTCTGTGCCAATAAATTTAATCCAATAATTTTGCTTTAACTTTAAGAGTACTTATTAAAGGGAGAGTGAAAGCAAGAGTGACCATGGCTGATGCAAGAGTATGCCAGGCTCCAAATATAAACCCTGGTCTGCCATACAAGTTAATTCCAGTGCAGGTTACACGGACATCAAAAAGTCACAGATCAGATCCAGCCTACAAAAGAAGCTATATAGTTACAAGTTGAGGTACAGTTCATGTCAGTTTTATAAACCCCGGAGCACAGGGAGCTGATAAGATAGAGGTGATAACATCTTTTTTCTTGAGTCAAGCTTGATCTCTCTGTTAAAAGTGTACAATCAACCTCTTTTTTAGAAAACAGAATGACCTATTTTAATGACCTATTTTTCAACTGTGATTTAGAATGCTAAATAACTTATTTTTAAAACATGTAACAATGCTTATTACTTTTTAATTATACAGCTCAAAAATAATACTCAGTGGTAAGCAGGGTATTTTTGTGTTCTAAGGTAACATTATTCAATTTTGTTCTCTGTATGTATGGACTACTAGCAACTTTCTTTATAACGCATTCAATTTTTCTCACCCAAAATAGTCTCTCTGAAGAAAATGTGAGAATTCAAGACATGAGTTTATTCCAGCATTATTAGTTCATCCAATCTCCCAAAATATCCCATGATGGATGTCAAAGAAAAGTAAATTGGTTAAGAAGATCTAAAACTGCTCAGTAAATCTAATAAAAGCTCGAAAAAAAGTAAAACAGGAAAAAGATTATGGAGGGGACAATTATTAGAAAGAATGAGTAAATTTTAAAAATGGAGAAGTCAAACACCGGGAAAGAAAATAACATGAAAGTTAGAAGAAAAGGTATAGTGTTCTAGAACAGTTTACAACTGTTCATATAAATCTGGACATTTACATATACCACACTTTAGAAAATAAGTATCTCAAAAAACCTGAATATGTTAAAAGAACAGGAAAGTTTTAAAATCAACCAACCACCAAAACCAAAAAACAAACCCTCCTCTGAAGCCTTTAAAAAAAGTGAAGTTTTTTCTAATACAAATCACTGTTTTATAATCTCAGATTTTACATAACAGGTTTTTTATAAAATAAGATGTAAAAATCTCATCATTAGAAAGAGTAATTTAAAGTTTACTATTATATGTAAAAATCAAAACTCTCCAGTTAAAGCTCTATGTATATACTTAGTGTCCCATTATCATGAAAGGCTGGTCAGAAAATAATTGATAAATCTTTAAATGGGACATGAAGCATGGGTCTCTATGAATTCATTATCAAAAAAGCTCAGGTGGGCACTCAAATACTTGTACTCATGCTGCACCACAAAATCCACTCTTCCTTCTAGTCTCATTTACAACTCCATCTGTTACAGAGAACAGACTGAAGTTGCCTACTGTATCTCAAAAAGCAGGAGAAGTAGTCAATAATTACAACAGAAGAGAACAGAAGAACTAAAAAGAGAGAAAAAAACTAATTTATTGTTCAAGTAGTTTAGATGGAAACTTTTCTGAGCAGGAGCATGGACAGATATGGCACAGTACAAGAACACTAATGCAAATTACCTATATACATACACATATACCCTATTTACAACTTTTTTTCTGTTCCCTGTAATTAAATGGCAACGGTGTGAAGCATGGTGATAGCACTGTAAAAACAAAATAGTATATAGTGTGATAGTAGCTGTTACCAGAATGGGTGTCTCTGTCCTACCTCACCGTACCCTAGGGAGATGACTTCAGAGATACTATCTTCAATTAGCTCAAGAACTCAATTTCAACTATTACCAGCCTATTAAAAAATGTTTAGTTATCTGTCCTGGCTGGGCTCAGTTGGTTGGAGTATTGTCTTGTAAACCAAAAAGATGCAGGTCTGACTCGGTCACGGTCACAGGGCATACAGGAGGCAACTGATCTATGTTTCTCCCTACCACCCCTTTCTCAAATCAATTTAAAAAACATATCCTCGGGTAATGATTTAAAAAAAACAAAACACAAACTTTCAGTAATCCCACAAGCAGAAAACAATAAAAAAAATTGGGTCAGCCCTGGCCGGTTTGGCTCAGCGGTTAGAGCGTCGGCCTGCGGTCCGGAGAGACCCGGGATCGGTTCCCGCTAAGGGCATGTACCTCGGTTGCAGTTTGTCCCTGGCCCTGGTTGGTCGTGCGGGTGGCAGCTACTCGATGTGTCCCTTTCACATCGATGTTTCTCTCTCTCTCTCTTCTTCTCTCTCCCACTCTGTACAAAAAATGGAAAAATGTCCTCAGGTGAGGATGAAAAAAAAAAAAATTGGGTCAAAGAAAAAGAATTTTACATGTCAGTAAAATTGAGGGGGAAAATATACTTTATCATTATCTTTTGAAATGGTTTGAACTAAAAATATAAACTGTAAAAACAAGGAACTGATTAGAATGTCAGGGTTTATAAATAAGTACAAAGTTAAAAATGAAAACATTTTACTATAATAACCCAAAACAACATTTTTAAAAATTACATCACTTTATATTATTACTGATGACTACCTAGGCTTTTCTAAATTTGCCAATGTACATATTTTAATTGAAACATTTAATCAAGCATTCCACAGCTTAAAAGTTAAGCCAAAGAAATAATCTGTTACTAATTTATAATACGTCAATTTATTATAAAATGGAGAGAAACAAAATGGAATTTTATATTGCATCTTAAAAGTGAAGCCTTTTCTTTACAAAAAAGATAAGTAATGTTAAGACACTGGAAGTCTGGCCAGGAATCAATACTTCACTACAGGGACGTGGTATTATCAGCATTTCAATGTTTGTAAGTTGATACAATGTAAAGGAATATTATTTTAATATACTCAACATAAAAATGCACATTTAATGCCGCTCTTTTATTTTGTCTAAAAGTTTTCAATTTGGAGAGTTTCTCTCTTAAGTTTTGATTTCTTCAATAAGAGACTTAAGACACAACTCTCTACAACCTCTGGTAAGAAACAAAGTCCAACATATGCTTCACATACCTTTTTGAGATGTCCTAGTCTAAGTTTGAAAATTTCTTCCTGTTCATGATATTCTGCCAAAGTCAACCTGTCAAAAATAAAATTGATTCTAGACATTAAGAATAATACTTATTATTTCTTATTAACAACAAACTACATAAAAGAAATTAATCTAATGGAAATAATAAAATGTTGACAACTTTCAGCCCAAAATATATAAAGCAAATGTCCTTTAAGATATTCTTCAGAATACATCTAATGCATATGATGGAACAATGAACTAATACCACCTTCTCTGGTTTTGAAACATTAATAATCAAATTTTAGATATAGTGCCAAATACTAGGCTACCGATTTTCTAGGGCAGTGGTTTTTACCCTTACATGATCATAAATATCTAAAAATAATTTAAAGGAATTATAAACACTCTCTCCAGAAAATTTCACACATATATAATTTTGGGGTTCACAGATTTCCGTTTATGAATTCCTATCCCAGGGTCTTCTCTTCTCTAACCAAATAGAATGCAAATCCCAAAACAGCAAAAGAGACATTTCTTACATTTCTCTAGGCTTCCCTTATCAGGAAATAACTGGACTAGCTTTTTAGACATCTCTACTGTCTATTTCCATTAAAAAAAAAAAGTTTTAAAATAAAATGTAAAATGTAGATAACATGAATTGGGGACAATAGTCTTTAAAGAAACATAACTTTATTGCACAGAGTGAAAAGAGCTAAGCTAGGATAATGTTAATTTTAATGACTTTTAATTGTCACATCAATTATTTTTAGGATGTTACCATCCCAATCCCTGGGATATGTGAATATATTAAGTTACCCAGCAAAAGAAAATTGAGGTAGCAGATGGCATTAAGGTTGCTAATCAGTTGAGTTATTCAGAATTACCCTTGTGAGCCCAATGTAAGTGCAAGAGTCTTCAACAGAGGAAGAGACGAGCAGACCTGTCAGAACCAGAGTGACGTGACATGAGAAAGACTTGGCTGCGATTGCTGTCTTGTAGAAGGAAGGGGATTATGACCCAAGGAAAGTGAGCAGCTTCTAGAAGCTGGAAAAGGTGAGAGTAAAAGCCATTAAAAAGTAAAAAAGCTTCATGACACCTTGAATTTTAGCCCAATGAGATCCACTTTGGAATTTTAATATCCAAACTGTAAGATACTAAATTGTGTTATCTTAAGTCACTAAAAAATCGGTAGTAATTTGTTACAGCAGCAATAAAAAACTACTACAAATTTTGGAATCTGGAAGTGGAGTGTTTCTGCAACAAATACCTAAAAATGTGTAAGTAGCTTTGGAACTGGCAGTGGGCAAGAAGCTAGAATTTTGAGGAGCATGGTTTTAAAAATGGTTACACTGCCTTGAACAGACTGTTAGCAGAAATATAGGAGTTATCAACTCTGCTATTGAGGACTCAAGGAATTCAGAAGCACAGCAGAGAAAACAGAGAGAATACCTAAATTGTCATGAACAGACTTAGCAGAAATTTGGACATGAGATGTGCTGCTGTTGAGAACTCAGAAGGAAATAAGAAATATGTTATTAAAACTGGGAAGAACGGGGACCTTGTTATTATGGAAGAAAGCTTAGTAAAATTGTAGCCTGCAGTTATGCAGAAAGCCAAAGTCACAAGAAATATATGTGATGCACCACATAAACAAAATTAAGGATAAAAACCACAGGAGCATATCAATAGATGCAGAAAAACCATTTGATAAAATCCAGCACCCATTTATAAAATTTCTCAGCAAAGTGGTAATAGAGGGAACATACCTCAACACAATAAAGGCCATATAAGGCAAACCCACAGCTAACATCATATTCAAAAGGCAAAAACTAAGTGTTTCCCTTAAGATCAAGAACAAGACACGGATGTCCACTTTCACCACTCTTACTCAGCATAGTACTGGAAGTCCTTGTCACAGCAATCAGACAAGAAGATATAAAAGGCATTCAAAGGAAGAAGTAAACCCGTAATTATTTTCAGATGACATGATACTATATACAGAAAATCCTAACGATTCCACCAATAAACGACTAGAACTGATAAATGAATTCAATCAAGTAGCAGATGCAAAATAAATATTCAGAAATTGGCTGCATTTTCATACATCAAGATGAACTATCAGAAAGGGAAACTAAGAAAACAATCCCATTTACATTTGCATTAAAAAATATATATAATACCTATGAATAAATTAAACCAAGGTTGTAAAAGACCTGTACTCAGAAAAGTGTAAGACACTGAAGAAAGAAACTACATATACAAATAAATGGAAGCATATAGTGTGTTCATGGATAGGAAGAATTATCAATAAAATAGCTATACTAACCAAGCAATCTATAGATTCAAAGCAATTCCTAGCAAGATACTAATGGCATATTTCAAAGAACTAGAACAAATATTCCAAAAATGTATATGGAACCAGAAAAGACCCTGAATAGCCACAGCAATCTTCAGAAAGATGAACAAAGAAGAATCACACTACCTGATACCAAACTATACTACAAGGCCATAGTAACAAAACAGCATGGTACTAGACAAAAAGAGACATAGATCAATGAAACAGAATAGAGAGCCCAGAAATAAACTCATGCCTTTATAGTAAATATTTGACAAAGAAGCCAAAAACACACAATGGGGTAAAGATAGGCTATTCAATAAATGGTGTTGGAAAAATGGTACATATATGTGTGTATGTGTGTGTGGGGGGGAACTAGACCACCTTCTTATACCCCACACAAGAATAAACTGAAAATGGATGAAAGACTTAAATGTTAGACGAGACCATAAAAATCCTAGAAGAGTCCAGTCGGTGTGGCTCAGTGGTTGAGCGTCGACCCATGCACCAAGAGGTCGCCAGTTCGATTACTGGTCAGGACACATGCCCAGGTTGTGGGCCCAATCCCTAGTGGGGGGCATGCAGGAGGCAGCCAATTGATGTTCTCTCTCATCGATGTTTCTATCTCTCTCTCCCTCTTTCTTCCTCTCTCTAAAATCAATAAAAGAAAAAAGAAAATAAAAAAATCCTGGAAGAAAACATCAGCAGTAAAACTTGGAACACTTCTTGTAGCAATGTTTTTCCTGATACATCACCTCGGGCAAGGGAAACAAAAGAAAAAATAAACAAATGAGATAACATCAAACTAAAATATGTTTGCACAGCAAAGGAAACCACCAACAAAATGAACAGACAACCCACTAAATGGGAGAACATATTCACCAATGATACATCTGACAAGGGGTTAATATTCAAAATTTATAAAGAACTTATAAAATTCAACACAAAAACAACCCACCAAAACCTCAAAGACCCCCAAACAATCCAATTTAAAAATTGGCAAAGTACCTGAACAGACACTTCTCCAAAGAGGACATACAGATGGCCAATAGATATATGAAAAGATTCAATGTCACTAATCATAAGAGAAATACAAATTCAAACCACAATTGAGATATCACCTCACACCTGTCAGGATGGCTATCATCAATAAACCAACAAACAAGTGTTGGTGAGGATGTGGAGAAAAGGGAACCCTCGTGCACTGCTGGTAGGAATGCAGATTAGTGCAGACACTGTGGAAAGCAGTATGGAGTTAAATTTTAAAAATTTTAAATGGAACTGCCTTATGACCCAGTAATTCCATTTCTGGAAATATATCCAAAGAAACCCAAAACACTAATTTGAAAAAATATATGCACCCCTATGTTCATCACAGAGTTATTTACAATAGCCAAGATATGTAATCAGCTTCAGTGTCCATCAGTAGATGGGTGGATAAAAAAAGCTGTGCTGCATTTACACAATGGAATACTACTCTGCAGTAAGAGGACATCTTACCTTTTGGGACAGCATGAATTGGACCTGGAGAGAATTATGCTAAGTGAAATAAGCCAGGCAGAGAGAGACAAGCACCATAAGATTTCACTTATATGTGGAATCTAATTAACAAAATAGACTAACAAACAAAATATAAACAGACTCACCCAAAAAGACAGCAGACTGACAGCTGTCAGAGGGGAGGGACTAGATGAAAAGGTGAAGGAATTAAAAAGAACCGAAAACTAGTAGACACAGACAACACTATGGTGATTACCAAAGAGAAAGTGGGTTGGGAGGAGGAGGAAGGAGTAAAGGGTGGATAAACAGTGATGGAAGGAGACTTGATTTGAGGTGGTGAATACACAATGAAATATACAGATGATGTATTATAGAACTGTACACCTGAAATCTATGTAACTTTATTAACCCATGTCAACCCAATAAATGCAATAAAAAGATTTTACATGATTCCCAAAGTGTTGAAGGTATAGACTAGTTTCTTCTTACCATTTTTATTAAAATGTGAGATGAGAGAGATAAATTAAGGAAAGAAATGTTCATCAATAATGAATCAGGACTTAATGGCTTAAGAAATTATCATTCTATCCAGAGTGTGAAATACACTAAAATTGAGGTTCACTATCAGAAAAGTTGCTCTTAAAAAGAAGAAAAAAGGCCCTGGCCAGTTTGGAGCATCGGCCTGTTGTCCGGAGAGACCCGGGATCGGTTTCCGCTAAGGGCATGTACCTTGGATGCAGTTTGTCCCCAGCCCTGGTTGGTCATGCGGGTGGCAGCCACTCGATGTGTCTCTTTCACGTCGATGTTTTTCTCTCTCTCTCTCTCTCTCTTCCTCTCTCTCCCTCCCACTCTATCTGTGCAAAAAAATGGAAAAATGTCCCCGGGTGAGGATAAAGAAAAAAGGAGAGAGTAGCTGGACATCCTTTTGCTAATACCCCAGAGAGGCCAGAATATTCAGCCACCTAAATGGTCTTTAATAAGATGAAGAGTGGTGATTCACAGATCCCTTCAGCCTTCTCAGAAGAAGCCAAAAATAGCGATGAAATTATTTAGAAAGGAACTGTGGAAGATCTTCTTGTCTAATGGAATGAATCCTTATTTCATACATAAGAGATCTGTAGATTCTTAAGAACTTTATAGAACAGAAACACTGACAGCTTGGATTTAAAAGGACAGAGAGTATAAAATGAAAGCGTGTCTCACCCCCAAAATTCTACAAACAAAAAACAGG